CTGCGGTTTTGCTGAAGTTAGGTATGAATCTCCGGTAGTAATTCAGGAACCCTAGCACTGCTCTGAGCGTGCTCGTGTCCTTCGGTGCTGGGACCTGGTCCGGAACCTCCACCTTCGCCTGCTAGATTCGTAGCGTTCCTCCTTGCACCTGGAATCCTAGGTACGTCACAACGGTATTACCGAAACTGCATTTCTTCGGGTGACAGGCCAGACCCGCTTCCTGGATTGCCTGCAACGTCGCTTGCACGTCCTTGACATGCTGCTCTGCATTGGGACTGAATACTATCACGTCGTCAATGTAGCATGCCGCGGCTAAAACTCCTCTGAGTATCGCATCCATTGTCCGCTGAAATAGGGCCGAGGGGTTCTTCATGCCGAACAGCATGAATTTCCACTCGTACAGCCCATCCGGACTGTGAAAGGCTGTCTTCTTTATGTCTTCTGGTCGTATGGGTATCTGATTGAACCCTTGCCGCAGATCTAGCGTGGAGAACACCTTTGCCCCTTGCAGCTTGGGTATCTCCTCCGCCGACTGCATTGGGTATCGGTCCGCCACTGTCACTTTGTTCAACCCTCGGTAGTCTCCGCACATCCTCCTAGCGGAGACTTTCCCCGTGAGATCCTTCCTTGAGGCCACTACCGCCGCTGCTGCATAGTCACTCTCGGATCTCTGAATTAATCCGGCCGCCAACAGCTCCGCGCATTTCTCCAAGCAGATGTCTAGATCTCCTGGGCTCATGCGCCGCTTCCTCTGGTATATGGGCACCTCTGTCATCAGCTCTATGCGCATCTCCTGGCTGTTACATTTGCCCAGCTCCTGCAGAGTGTAGGCAAAGGCTTCCCTATGCTGCCGTAGCACTTCCTGCATAGCTGCTGCCGTTGTGCCTCTCAGTCCTTCTCCCATCTGCCATTCATCCTCGAGCTTCCTTTCTGTCTCCCCTTTCTTCTCTACTGCGTCTGTCTGCTTCCCTTCCTCTCTTTCTCCCGCTTTTTCCGGCATCGCCAGGTATGCATATCCCTCCTCTACCCTCTCTTCGTACCTCTCCTCCATTTCTTCCGGCACTCTCCTGTGCTGTGCTGCTGACTCGTGCTCCCTGACTCTTTCACTCAGCACGATGTCTCTTTGCAGCTCTCTTGCTTTCAGCTGAATGCGGATGGTCTCTATCAGCCACATCATCACGTTGACGTCCATGGCTCTGCCTAGCGCCGCCCTCCTCTGCCTTTCTGTGACTTCAAGGTGTGCTGTGGCTCCCCAGAGGTGTCCCATCGCTGCCTCCCTTTCGTTCGCCGTTGGTTCCTCCCATCTGCCTTTCCGCACGTCGTAGATCATGCCTTGGCCTGGCAGCTCTCCCTCCATCTTGAAGCCCCGGGCTTCTTCGTAAGCTACCAGTGTGGGTAAGGCTTGCCTTGGTTTGCCTGTCACGTTGCATTGGTATTGCGATGGATGGTCGGGGCTTGTGACTGGGGCTGGCAGGCGGTTCGGCTCTAGGATGTCGCTAACCAGCCTCGGCTCGGGCCTCTGCATCCGTACCAATGAATGTCTCAGGGAGGCTGTGGATATCCCATTTTGCCAGTAGCTCCGTGGTCTGTGCGCCCTGGATCCCAGCTGCGCTTCACTTGCCGACACTCCTCTCCCCAGCACTTCCACAATCTCCTCATACGCCTGCCTCATTGGTTCTCGCCGATCTTCGGCTAGATCTACGTTCTCCAAGATGTATAGCACCTTGCCTTGCTTCTTCTGGATCATTTCCAGTACCCGCTTCAAGTCTCTGAATGTAGCTCCCCTCGGATCCTCCATGCCTCTTCCTCCTCCTGCCCGTGAGTAGCCCTGGCACTCCCATCCTGCTACCACCAGGTCAATTTGCCCCCACTCGACCAGCACCCACTCGTTGATATCTCTGACGTCGTGTACCCCTGCTTCATTCTCCTTTGGCAGCGCCTCTGGCCATAGCTGCTCGGGGTACTCTTCCAGTAGCAGCTGTGCATGATGCCGTGCCATCTTCCTTGCGCCCGGATCGCTCTCCACATGTATCCACTTCTTCACCATGCACCCTGCCCTTAACGCTACAGCTAGTCCTGAGCCTAATCCCCCGTACAGCTCTACTATGCATATAGCCCGCTCCAGCGTCTAGAGCTTGCTCACCCTTTCCGTCAGCACCAACGGCTCTAGCCCCGCCACCTTCCTTTCCACTCTTCTCTCATACTCCTCCCCGTATTGCTCCCACGACCATTCATCTAACTCGTCCATTAGATCCTTCTTCTGCACCTGGCAGGCTTCTCGTGGCTCTAGCCTGACAAATTTCACGGGCAATGTGCCTACCGTACTCTCAGGATCCCAGTACTGCACGCGGTACAAAACTTTCTCCTGCCAGGTGCATATTGTGGCACCCACCCGGTACAGCAGCTCCATCCCCACCAGCACGTCGTAATCTTCTGATTCCGATACTCCACACTGTAACCGTATGCAGCACTCCTTCTCCGTTCCTGGCAGCAGCACCACCTCGATTGGTCTCTTGGTCCGTGGCATCCACTTCGGCTGCCCCCCTTCTGCCGTCATCAGGAGAATGCCTCTTTCTACCAGTCTTCCCGGCAGGTCCAGGTTCAGTTGTTTTGCCAGCCCCTTTCCTATCAGCACGTGATGCGCGCCCGTGTCAATGATGGCATGCTTTACCGGCAGCCCTCCCACCGTTAGGCTGCCTTTCTCTGCTATTAGCACTGATGCTTGACAAACCATGCGCTCATTCGGGTATCTTCGCATGCCCGTGCTTCTGGCTTCCGCTCGAGGCTGGCTTCTCCTGCTGGTTCCGGTGCTAGTCTCGCTGGTTTGGGGTTGGTTGTTGGGCGGCCTTATGTCCACTTCCTCCCGGTCTCTGGGGTACGCCATCACCGCGTATTCCCGTATGTACTCCTCCTCCTCTTCTTCTTCGCTCTCGATCTCCTCATACGCCATCATCGCCCGTGCTTTCACTTCACCTCCGGGATTCATCTTCTCTAGTCGTAGCTGCAGCTTTCTGGGTTCTGCCTGCAGCTCTTCTCGGCTTGCCCCCCTGTGCCTCCCTTGGCTTACTGTAGCATTCCTCCTTCTTGTGCCCCCTTTTTCCGCAGTTGTCGCAGCTCAAGGCCTTCGGGAAGTCCCTCTTTAGGTGTCCTCCTTCTCCACACTGGTGGCAGGCCCAACTGTCCATTCTGACTCCCCTCTCGCTGACCGTTTCCGGTACTGCCGCGGCTGCCCGGCAAGTGCGCGCCCTGCCGCGTGTCTCGCTATCTTCCAAGTCCAGCAGCCTCTGTGCATGCTCTGTTCTCTTTGCCAGGCCGTAAACTTCCTTCAGAGTGACGTCGGCGCCAATACCGTACACTGTATTCTTCACGACGCCCTTCAGCTCTTCGTCTAGGCCGCGTACGAACTTACGCACTAGCATGCGCTCATCTCCGTTCTCCAAGTCCTCCGCCAACTCCTTCAATCGGCAGTAGTATGCGAGCAGCGATTCCTCTTTCTTTCTTTTGAATTCTCGGAACTCCTCGACCCTTGCCTTCGTCTGTTCGACGAACTCCTTTCTCAGTATCTGAATGAACCTTGCCATTGGGTTCTCGATTTCGCCGCATGTCAACTCTTCCAATATTTCTTCCCGGACCAGGCGGTAGAAGGTTTCTGCTTCGCCAGTGAGGGTCCCCACCATCTTCCTGAAGAACTCCGACGGGTCATGTCCATCTCTCTCCCAACAATATTGCACGGTCTCTAGCTGCATCAGAAAAATCTTCAGGCTCGGTCCTGCACCCGGGATGCCGCTGTATCTTTCGGCCACTTCCACCTTGGGCAGGTTTGCTGATTTCCACCGCCTCTCATACCGGTATCCCCTTTTCTCCTCTCCAGGTTCTCCGGACAGCGTCGCTACACCGCTCTCTACAAGTTCCTCCCTTGCCACGGTTCCGATCGTTGGGCCCCTGCCTCCGCACTCCCCCATTCCGGGCATCTCGGACGGCGAGCTTTTGTTATCACGCATGCGGCCGAACGTGTCACTGCGATTGTTCCGTGCCGACTCTCTCGTCGTCCCTCCGGGTTCTGACGCGGTTTTGCGCTCGCGTTCTCTATCCATTATTTCCGCGGCTGCACGGGCCCGTTGATGAGGAGTACGGTAAGTGGGCGATCCAGCCTCCTTCCGGATTGGCGCAGAGCTGCTCGCGTCGTCTATCGCTTGCGCACGCCAGCTTGGATCTGCCTTCGTATGCCCGGTTCCGCTCCAGAGACGCGTTCTTAGCAGGTCTCTATCTTTGCTATTCGTCGGCATTACTCCTTGCGTGTTTGTTGAAAAGTCCTCTCTACAGGTGCTGGATACCCAGAGTCACTAGATTTGGGTTAGCTCGGCTGGCTCTCAGCCCAGAGAGGGGTTACCCAGTAGCTTGCGGGGTTGGCTTCGTTGTGTCGTTTGTAGGCCTAAGGGTTGCTCAGGATCTGACTCAGACTTCGTTGCGAAAACAAACACGCAAGCAGCCAATGTAATCTGTTTCGTTTACCGTTGTCCCAACGGTGCTCTTCTTTAAGTTCCCTCCCTCCTTTCCCCGCGCTTGACCCATTTGTTATCTCCCCTATTACCCGCCTCTCTGTCCTACTAGTCATGACTACACATCGAGTTATCTACTCCTACAATTATAATAATGACATCATTCTTACCCGTTATTTCTGACACGTCTGATGTATCAGTGGGGTTCAAATCCTTGCGAGGACCTCAACACGTGTAACAGTGGACTTATGATGGAAATTAACAATGATGAATAGGAACCAACAAAAGAATGGCACGTCATGTTGTATCGGCACAAAATGCAAGTAAACGCAGAACAGAACCTTCGGTCCCATTGCATACCGGTATCACTTTGAGCCACGCACATGCACCCCATGCACACTATCACCCCATGCACACATATTTCAACAGCCAGGCAAGCAGCAACTAGAGCAGAGGCGGTGGCCGCAGGCAGCCCATACAGGCAGCCCCTGCAGGGAGCTCTTAAGGCAAGGGACTTGCAGCAGGATAGTAGTTGCAGATGAACGTGTAACCAACTCCAATTGCGTACGAGCAAGTGCGCGGTGAGGTCTGATAGCAGGCGTTGCTCGAGGCAAGGCACGCGGGGCCCCCGCACGGCGATCCAGCGCAGCAGTAGCAATTGTTCCAGCACGTGTTGTAGTTGGCCGTTTTGGTCGTGGTGGTTCCGCCCATAGTTTCAGCCGTCGCGTTGCACGACTTCTGGCAAAGCGTCTTCCGGTAGTTGCAGCACGGTGCAGTAACGTTGTTGCCATCTCCTAGAGTGCAGTCTGAAGTTGATAACCAGGTTGGATACGGGCAGATGGCTTGCGTGCAGCCGAAGCCTGAGGCCGGGGCCAGCCCCATGCGGCCAACGCACGCCGCCCCACAGTTGTCACACGGGTTGTTCTGGAATAGTGAAAGACCATAGTTCACGGCTGCATGGCAGTACGACGGGTACGAGACAAAATCCGCTCCGCACACTGTGAGAGAAATTGCACAGCCGCTGTCAATCATGCCGATGCCGCCTATACAGGGGATGATGAGATTCATGCCGACGGGGAGCGGTGCAGTGGCATTGGAGATGAAATTTTGGGTGGCAATGGCAGCGGGGGAAACGGAGAGTAGTGTGCAACGGGTGAGGTATTGGGTGGAGATGGAGGAGAGGGTATCGCCGGCACGGACGGTGTAGATGGAGTAGTTGGCGTTTGGGTTTCGCTGCATGGTGGTGAGGAGGGGTGAGTCGATGCAGACTTGTTGACCCACCACGAAGTAGGGCGCCTGGCACTGTATGGGGGGGATATGGCAAGGGAGAAAGAGGTAAAGAGGCTGGCTGTGCAGATGGAAGCGAGAGAATGGCAAGGCAGAGAGAGGCGCAGAGGGGTGGCAGAGGTAGAGAGTGGTGGATTGCAGCACGGAACCAGTGTAAATTCTCAGTCAGTACCCAGCCCACGCAGGGGGAAAGGGCTGGAAAAGGTGGGAGAGTAGACGTAGAGGTGTGGGGTTGAAGGGTGCTATGGGGTGGTATGTAAAGCTTCAAGGAAGTTACCTGGATGCAGTATTCCGGAAGGGGCAATATGTGAAGGTGCAAGGAAGGTACCCGGATGCAAGGGTTAATGGTTTACCTGGATGCCCGGGTTGATGGAGAGGAACATGGACATGGTGAGGTTGGCTGCATTCCAGATGGAGGGGCATGTGTCGCCCTGCATCACCCGGTACCACCCCGTGCAGTTGATGCTGGTCTGGAGACAGGCACAGAGGGGGATTGGGGTTGGGGGGAGAGGGGGGAGGAGACACAAATTGCATGAGACATGGAGGCACAAGTGGGATTCAAGTGGGAGGAGAATCGCTATGAGAATGACAAGTGGGAGCATGTTTTTTGTGCTTACCGCAGGTGCTGCTGGCGCCACACAGACGTATGAGCCCACTGCAAGATTGATGTTGCAGTTGACGCCTGGGTTAAGCCTGCACAGGGGCAAGAGCAGAATTGCAGCGAGAGATTCTGGATTGAGTTACTGTGGAAATGCAGAAACAGAGTTGACTCGAAGGGAATTGAAGGAGTTTTGGGTGCAAAACAGTGGTGTAATTCTGAAATCGGAAGGAAGAGTGTTGGGCAGGAAGAGAATATTAAATCGGCGCGAGGAGGGGATTTTTTAGCTTACAAAACCAGTGGCATGAGTTTGAAATACTCACGAGGCAAATGTTGTTGCGTTGTCAATTGAATATTTAACAGCAACCGAAGCACAAGTGTCTCCAATGACAACAGGGACGCTTTGCCCGCACTGTGGAGCCGACGATGTTGTCGATGCGGTAACCATCTGAAGGCATACTTGCTGTGACTTGAACAAGCGCTTGCACGACAAGCCAGGGTTGATTGCCAAAAGGGAAGTGAGTGAACCGTTGAAAAAAGTGTTTGCTACAGAAGTGCAAGTGTCCTGAGGTCGGACTGTATAAGTGTTGGTGCAATATGAGGAGGAGGAGGATAAGGAAGTCACTGCGACTGTAAGAGCAATTCCAGGAGGGAGGTATTCTGTAACGGAGCAGTTAATGAATGTGTTCAGGTTTGTCAGCGTGGTGGTCGATATGTTGAAAGATGTCGCGACAAACGTGCAGTTGTCGCCAGGGTTGGTAACATAGGACTTCGCGAGGCCAGCTGCAGAAACACACGTCGGCGAACCGTCGACAGCAGCGCCGACGGCGTAACCCGCAGAGCACGCGCACGTGTATGTCCCGTCGCCAACATCTGAGCACGTTCCGCCGCCGCAGGGATTCACAGGAGACTTTGTGCAGGGACTTCGTGGCACGCACTTGGACGTTGGCAATCCCAACACCTCAACCATATTGGCCATCGCGCTGCAGTCGCACCGCGGAACTCCACCGCTCACGTAACAAATGCCCCCGCCGCACGGGTTGATCATCCCCGCACACGTCGTACCCAGCGTGGGGCTGACGGTGGCGGCGGTGGTGGTGGTTGAAAGGGTGGAGGAGAAGAGCGACGACGAGAGGTCGTCCACTTTGTTGATTTTCCACTTGCCGCCCTTGTCGGACGCAAAGCGCGCGGGCTGCTGCCCGGATGGGAAGTAGACGGGGTACATGGCGGGGGTTCTGCGCGGAAAGGAAGCATGGCAAGAGGAGAGCAGAATCTGGATAGTACATGATAAAAGAAAAAAAATGCACACAGGCAAACGGAGAAAGGGATAAATGGCGGTGGGTTTGGAGGTGATGCAGAGACTGGGAGGACACGCAACAGGGAGTCGTGAGTGCGTCGGAGGCAGAGATAGTGCACGAGAAAGAGGAGGCAGGGAGATGGGGGCGAGAGACGCGCAAATCTTGAGCGCGCGAATCGTGAGAATCGGTGGATTGGTGGAGGAAGAAAAAATAGGGGAGAAGATGAGGCGTTCGAGCAAACGCAACATGATGCAACATGATACAACGCGCAACGGAGGAAAAAGACACGAAGTCGGCGGCGCAAGACGCGCACGCGAAAGCGGCGACAATACCGCTCTCCCACAGCACTTGAGACCAGCTCGAATATCCCGCGCACGAGTCCTGTGGAATGCGTGTCGAGAGTGGGTTCAGAAACGTACGATAAGAGGCCGCATTTCCCGCGCACGTCGGGCGTCATGGCGAGGTACATGTAGCCGCGGTCGCCCCACGTGGCGTACCATGAGTTCTTGATGATCCAGTAGCTGCCTTTAAGGTCCGGCCCCGTGTAGTTAAAGCCCACCACCACCACCGCGTGGTTCACGTCCGTCGTGCACACGCCGTTGTAAATGTTCAGCACGCTATTGCTTGAGTACGCCTGCCAGGCGGAGAGAGGTGGACGAGAGGGAAGGAAACGCAGGGAATCGGTGTCCGAGCGGGAACGCAAGGAATCGGAAATTATTGCGAGTGGGGAAACGCGGCAAACGTGAGCCCGGAAACGCGGGGAATCGGGAAACGGTGTGAGCGGAGAAACGAGGGGAATCGCGAAGCGGTGTGAGCGGAGGCACGCGGGGAGTCGGGAAACGGTGTGAACGGAGGGCCGCGGGGAGTTGAGAAACGGTGGGAGCGGAGAAAAGCGGAAATCGGGAAACGGCGTGAGCGGAGAAACGCGTGGAATCGGGAAACGGTGTGCGTGGAGAAACGCGGAGAAACGCGGAGAATTGGGAAACGGTGGGAGCGGCTAAGCGTGAGCCGAGTGGGAACGGGATGCAGGGGCGCATGGCGCAGGAAGGCGGGGAATAGGAAACGATGGAATTCGGGATCGCGGAGAATCGCCGGGTCAAAGATGTGATCGAGGAAACGCGAGGAATCGGGAAACGGTGTGAGCGGGGAAACGCGGCGAGCGGGAGGGGGACGAAGGGCGTACGGTGAAGTCGGCGGCGGAGGCGCTGATGAAGGCGACGACGGGCTGCATGCTGACGGCCTTCATGAGCGCCATGGCGTTGAATGCCGGCACCAGCTCCCACCCCGTGATCTGCGCCACGGACGGCATGGATGTGTCAAGCAGACACGTGGCGGAATCTACGGCGGAGTAGGGGTAGTTGGAGTTGGCCGTGACGCCGCCGTTGAAGAGCACGTAGGAGAAGGCCCACTCGGGCCACCCGCCCTGGCAGCACTGCTTCGTCGCGCAGTCGCACACCTGCTGCGGCGACAGATTCGTCCCGGTGCTGTTGTTGGCGATCGCCCACATGATGGCGATGGTATCGACAGCTGAGATCGCCCAACAGCTTGAGCACTGCGGAGGAACGAAGGGGATTAAGCGGCAAGTTTGGAGCTCAGTAAGAGCTGAATCAATGCACATCAGCTACAATCCACAGCAGCTAACAGACATCGAGTGAGAAGCAGACGAGCGTGGAGGCGAGAGCGGAATACGCATCGAGTGAAAAGCAGACAGGGGGTGGAGCCGCGAGCGGAATACGCATCGAGTGAAAAGCAGAGGGGCGTGGAGCCGCGAGCGGAGTACGCACGACACTCTGCGTCTGGATGGGATGAGTACGCACCACATACTGCGTCTGGATGGGCGTGATGGCGACGGTCTTACGCCAGTCGACGACAGGCGGCGGCGTGACGCTCTCCCAGCGGTAGAACGACATGTTCACCGTCGCCATGCTCGGCCCCGAGTTAAGCGGCGGCGCCGACAACCCGAACTTCACTCCCGTGTTCTGGAGAACGCGTCTGTCGCTCAGGCCGCCGGCATCGCCGCCTTCGAGTTTGCGTTCCGCGTCGCGAGCGGCTTCGAGAATGCGGTCCGCGTGCTGCTGCCTCTGCTCCTCGGGGAGCTCGAACGTCTTTCGCATGGAGATCTCGAACTGCGTGGGCTGCGCCGTGGAAGCGTGGGCTGCGTGGCTTGGCATGGACGCTTGAACGAGCGATATTAGGAGAACAACGGAAAAGACCGCCATTGGTCCGCTTCTGTCTCCCATCTCGCTCGTGCACCTTACCCTACACGTAGGTCACGTCGCTAAGGTTGTGACGTGGGAAAGGAGTGGCGTCTGCAGACTCTACGACGTTGAAACGCACTTCTGCGGTCCTGGATAAACCATAGATTTCCAGCGGTGTTGTAGGGGCGTTGTACAAGGTGAAGTATCTAGTCTGGAAAGTGACGCCTCGAAGCTCTGCCCCTTCCATGCTCCACGAATCCAGATTCCGCAGGTCATGCGCGCGACTCTTCCGCTTCACCACTGGGGTCCACTTGTGCTGTGTGGACTGACCTAACCAACCAACATGTTCTGTACAAAACACATCCCTGGTTATTCCTTACACGTGGCAGATTTGCCAGCTGTTGACGTTTGAGAGGCTAGGCTTGATTGTGGAGGAATCAGTGTGTGACATGAGAAGTACAAGAGACAGAACAAGAGCGGTTTGTTTGTGGAAGCCGGCATTGAGCCCAGGAGACAGGAGGGGAGGAGGCGCGAGGCCGAAGTTTCAGATCGGTGTGCAATGGTCCTGCGCGATGAAGCAATGACAGCTATTTGGAGATGAATGTCTCCATCCCTTGACAAACTTCGAGGGATGTCGGTACAGCACATGTCAACCCTCCGATAGATAGGTTGTCTCAATTCGGTTCGGTTCGGACACTCTTCAAAATATCCCTTCAGACCAGGGCTGTCGATTGACGGTCACCTGCCCCTCATGCCCTAAGATTATGACAGATGTTGGAGACTATCCTCGATAAAGTTTTGTTTTTGGGTGTCGTCCGTGCTGAGTCAGGGCTGCGTTGGGACCTTTCCTAGGCGCGATAAGAGCTCCAAATTTTAACTACAGCTCGGAAAACCCTACCCCTCGTGAATGTTTAGGGCCACTTTCGGCCGCTGCACTCGGAAAAACGGACCAATTTTCGCGCAAACACCTCCTACCGACCATTCGTCCCACTTGAACAAGATCTGAACAGTACAATAATACACTTGTTGCTCACTAACTCAACGTCCTGCATGTGCAACACACCCTCGCGCATGAACACGAGCACATGCACGTGAGTTACAAACCGAGAACTGTACACATCTCAGTTGCTGGTTTTTCAGCTAAACAGTTGCACAATCATTCTGATCCTAGTAAAAGGACATCTGCAACTGGATTACTGTATATTTTTCCTACTGCAGAACACGGACAGGCAGAAAAGAAGCCATGTTCGACAATTTTCCGACCCGTTTAGATGCCCACTTTTCAAGGGAGATTTTGCGCACGACTTACACCCAGCCACTCGGAGGAAACCCAGGAATTTTAATAGTGTACAGGAGTGTAGAATACAGTTTGAGGTTTAGTGCACGTCCAGATCCAGAAAATGACAACGTAAGTTGAAGGCGTACAGCTTATAGACAGGCTGTGAATGACGGGCACGTCTGTCCGATGGGTAACAGTGGACATACCACTGTGCACTGTCCTCACATCAGCAACCTTGGCATCAACTCGACGACAAACTATTCTAGTGGGACGACCCACCAGTACCTCAGGTCACTCGATCCGAGCCTCGACTTCCGAGCCCAATTTCCAAGTTCCGGAGGCACCCCTATTGAACTGTAGATACATGAGATCGTGGTTATCATGGCTCGACGATAAATCCACCAGGCTCGGCATCGACCGAACCTTAGCGGTTCATTATACGACGATTGTACATCACCTTTTGTCACGCAAGAGCGCATGTAAACAACAGTTTGAAATAAGCATAGTTACCCGCTTCATTAATGTCGTGAACAGGTATAAGCTATATAACATTTTGACACACCCCCAAAGGCATAGTGGGGGAGAACAAGTGGTCACAAGACCAGTCAAGAAAGGCAAAGCAAGCTCAGGGTGGATCACAAAGTCACCACACAGTCCGAGCACAAGCAAAGAGCAACAAGGCCAGTTCACATGCAGGGTTATATAAAAGAGAACAAACAATACAGTGATCATACCCTAGCAAATGCAAGCATGCAGGTATATATATATATCACAGTACAAGCAGATTCAAGCAGTAAACAAGTGAGGCGAAGTAGGCAAAAGGCCTAACACAGTAGAGAAGCGCTGATGATCACCAGGCGGAAGTGCCTTGGTGAATACATCAGCAGTGTTGGCCCTAGTGGCCACGTACGCAAGAGGAAGCTGGCCACACTACTGCAACTCTCGAGAAAGGAAGTATCGCAGAGCGATGTGCTTCGTTCTGTGCTCCAGTCTGTGCTCCTGACACAAGGCAATCATGGCCTTGTTGTCTACGTACAGAACTGGAGGCGAACGAGGCTGCTCTCCCAAGTCGGTCAGCAGGTAGGTGAGCCAGCGTAGCTCCTGTGCAGCCATTGCCCCGGCGTAGATCTCAGCCTTACAACTGGAGCTGAGAACCGAAGATGAGCTGGTAGACCGCCAAGAAACAGAGCCGGAACCAAGGCTGGAGGTGTAACCCTGTGACGACCGCTGCGTAGCTGAGTCGTCCAGGAAGCGACTGCGTAGCCAGTGAGGACAACTGGACCCCATCCTCCAAGCACGAGCCCCATGCCCGACGTACTGCACAAGTAATGGAGTACCCACTTCGCAGCATCCCAGTGCACCTTTCGGTGCCTACCGGGAGCCACGTAGCGAGCCAGGAGGCTGAGAGGGTACGCAAGGTCAGGTCGTGTGCACGTCATCAGGTACATGAGGCAACCCACAAGCTCTGGGTACGGACCACTCGGATCTACGGAATCGTTCGAAGGTGGAGCTGAGAGCGAGTGGCTGGTAGACAGAGGAGTGGGCTGTGGCGAGGAGAACTGGAAACCGAAGCGCTGAAGGACCTAGTGCACCATGTGTGACTGAGTCATGGTGATGGTGCGCCGTGCTCTGTCCCGGGTGATCTGCAAGCAAGGATAGCTGCGCAGTTCATCCAAGTCAGTGCAGGTGTGTCTCTTCTGCAGCTCCGACTTCACAAGGGTCAGTGCCTCGATTTCAGCAGTGGCAAAGACAAGGTCGTCGACGTACACGAGGACGTAGAACGGTGGCAGCGAGGTGTCGGTGCGTAGAGACAGCGACGGGTGATCAGTAGAAGGAGCAAACCCAAGAGCCGCAAGCGTCGTCCTCAGTGTGTCGTGCCACTCGCGAGGCGCCTGGCGGAGACCGTAGACTGGCTGGCGGAGGCTCCACTGGGTAACTGCAGGAAACGACCCAGTGAAGCCAGGTGGGCGGCGCAGCCAGATCTCCTCGTGCAGGATGCCCTGCAGGAAAGCTGTGCTGAAGTCCAGAGAGTGCAACTCGTAGTCACGCTGAGCAGCGACATGAAGCAACACCCGAAGAGTAGTCAACTTCGGGGTGGGGGAGAAGGTCTGGAAGTAGTCAACCCCCTGTCGCTGACTGAAGCCTCGAGCAACGTAACGTGCCTTGAAGGCAGGGGGAGAACCCGGCGGCCGCTTCACCCTGAAAATCCACATGCCATCGACAATGTTCGCCCCAGGTGGGGGAACCTCGTCGACGTAGGTGCCTTTGGACTTCGAATCTCGGCATCCATGGCTGTCTGCCACTGAGAGGAGTAAGGACCCGTAATCGCCTCTGCATAAGAGCGCGGGGTCGGGATGTCTGGTGCATCCGGGTCTCCCTCAGGGGCAAGCAGCATGGAAGCGAAACGAGGTACAGCAGCTGCAAGACACTCAAAGTCCTCTTGCCTGTCCTCAAGGACGTCCGTGCCAAGAGCAGACTCACCCCCGATGGACGGAGGACTGGCAGACTCAGACTCAGCAACAAGAGCAGTGGCGTAGTATAGACGACAGGTAGCAGCAAAGTCAAGCAGCTCAGCAACGAGGGCAGACGCACCAGCAGACTCAAAGGAAGGGTCAGTGACAGCAATGGCGAGGAGACGAGAGACAGTGGGACTGGCAACATGAGCGCGGTCAGACTCAGGGTCAGGGACCTCAGGAAGAGAGGACTCAGAAGGAGCAGGCAGAGGAACACGCAGTGGAACAGAGGAAGGACGAAGTGCCATAGCGAGTGTTCCGGGGACAGGAGGAGGACGCGGACGAGGACCGCGACAAGCAGTGCGAACAAGCGAGACAGGACGAGACGTAGGCTCACGACGCTCTGTAAGACCGCCGGACTGCTCAGTGTAAGGAGAAGGAGCAGGCAGTGGGGAGGCCGGCAGTAATGGCAGCTGCGACTGGTCAGGTGGTGGACGCAGGAGGGGAGGAGTAAGGCTAATAGAAGACGAAACACCAAGAACCTGCTGAAGCAGGGGAAAGAAGTACGGTCGCGGCCGCACAGTGCCTCCAGGGTCAACAACTCCAGCTCCTCCAGCTCCAGCGCCTCCTGTGCTAGTGCCTCCAACTCCAGCGCCTCCCGCGCCAGTGCCACCAACTCCTGCTCCTCCAGCTCCACCGCCTCCAGCGCTAGTGCCACCAGCTCCAGCTCCTCCAGCTCCAGCGCCACCAGCGCCAGAGCCTCCACCTCTAGCAGCTCCAGGCTCCGTAGGGTTGCCAACTCAAGCGCCACCAACACAACCAGTCCCGGCAGCTCCAATACCCCTGGTACGAGCACCTCCAGGACCACTAGCCGTAGTACCTCTAGTACCACCAGCTCCAGCTGTAACTCCAGCACCTCGAGACGAAGTGGCTCGAGCGCCTCCAGCTCCGGTAGCTCCACCCTGAAGGCGTGCACGCCGAACAAGCCACTCATGCAGCTGCTGCGGAGACAGTCGCGGCCAAGCACCAGCAGGACCTCCAGACGAAGCAGCACCTCGAGGCTCAGCACCCCCAGACTCCGCACCCTCCGACTCAGCACCCCCAGGCTCAACACCCTCAGGCTCAGCACCCCCAGGCTCCTCACCCCCAGGCTCAGCACCCCCAGGCTCAGCACCCCCAGACCCAGCACCCTCAGAACCCGCACCCCCCGGCTCCGCACCCCCAGACTCAGCACCCCCAGA